ACACGTTGTAAGACGTATAATAATTATTATTATTATTATTATAAAGTTGGTAGGAGATTTCGTGTTAGTTTCACTGCTGAATTTTCTTCTCTCTCTTTCTCTTTCTCTCGTTCAATTTTAAGTTTTTTTTTTCTTTCTTTTTTTTTTTTTTTTATTACTAATTATTATCCAAAAAAAAAAAAAATTCGTATAAACTCGATTCGTAAGAAAGGAAAGAAAGAAAGAAATAATAATGATAATATTTTTTTTTGTACTTACTTTTTAAAAGTGGTAAATCGCTAATGAAACCTCCTCCGTCGTCAACGCTGGCATTCTGTTAATAAAAAATAATAATGATAATATTAATAACGATCCGTGAATTATTACGTAATAATAATAATAAGAAAAATTTTCGATGTCGTGGGGTGGGAGAAGAAGGGGGTGGCAAACGGTGGTAAAATGTTTTGTGGGGAGGTTACAAACATTTCGTTCGTTTGTTTCTCGTGTCTCGCGTATATATTTCGTTAAAATTATTATTATTATTATTATTATATAAAATTGTTTTTTTTTTTTTTTGCTCAGATTTAATAATACGCGTTTTATAACTTTCTTTTTGGATTCAAACACTGAAAAAAAAAAACAGGTTTCGACCGATACGCCTATTTAAAAAAATACAAAGTTGAAATGATTTTCAAAAAAGGTAAAATTTTACTTTTGGTGCCACCGCAAACACACACAAACGACTCGATCAAGGCGGCCAACAATTTTTTTTTTTTTTTAATTTTTGTGACGATGGTACCCGCGCACATAAATACCTACGGTAAATCCAAATGATAAAATGGCGAATAAGGGAAAATTATAATTAATTGATTTATAAACAATACCACGTGATGACGTAATCGATTTTTCATTTTCCCCTTTATTTTGTTCGGTATTATTTTTCAGACAGGTTTAAATTTTTCGATCGTTGCGCGTTGATTTCTTCTTTTTATTAATGAAAAAGATATTAATAATAATAATTACTGTTATTATTATTATTATTATTATTATTATTATTATTATTATTATTATTATTATTATTATTATTATTATTATTCATTTACTTTTTATCGGGAAAAGAGTGAGAGAGAGAAATGAGTGATTTGTACGACGATGAAAAAAATTTTTTGTTAAAAAAAAAAAAAAGGTTAGGAAAAAAATGCGCAGTTCTTTTTTTTACCTTTTTAACTTTTATTATTATTATTTTTTATATACGTTTTCTTCAGTTTTAAAAGAGCTATTAATTATGGAAGGAAGGTAAAAAAAAAAAAAAAAAACTCGCTTCTTGTATCAAGTATGTGATTATTTACTTTAATTACTAGTTAATAAAAAAAATGTTGCTTTCGAACAGTTACAATCCGTTTATAAAAAAATTTTTTTTTTTTTTTTTATTAAAGTGGTGAGGCGTAACGTAATGAAAATTAAAGGGTGTTCTACAAAAAAAAAAAAAAAAAATTTTCTTTTTTCTTTTTAATTGATTTTTTTTTTTTTTTTAAAGAAAAAAAAAAGAATTTTCCCGAGAAATGGAAAATTTCAAACGTTTTTACGTTATTTTTTAAATAAATACGTTCGTTAGTTTTTATTTTAAAAAATAAGTAAATAATAATGATAATGATAAAGTGAAAAACTTTAAAATGAAAACAATGTCGAGAAGAATCTCTCTTTCTCTCTCTCTCTCTTGTTTAAAAAAAAAAAAAAAAGTTAAGTAAAATTCTTTTGTGTAAAAAAAAATTAAAAAAAAAATTTAAAAAAAAAAAAAAATTAAAAAAGAAAAAAGGAAAGAAAGGAAAGGAAAGGAAAGGAATGGAAAATTTTTCTTTTTTTTTTTTCGTCAGGTATTTTTTATATTTTTTTAAAAAAAAAAAAAGAGAGAGAGAGAAAGAGAGAGAGAGAGAGAGAGAGAGAGAGATGAAAAAATGGCGGTTAGCGCATCCCTTTAAAAACGTTGCGGTCACCTAAAAAAAAAAAAAAAAAAATACGCGTTTCGAAGTGTGTGTATAAAGCACGTATATTCATAATACATAACGAACGATCATCATCATCATTATCATCATCATCATTATCATCACTTTTTTATTTTTTTTTCAAAGGGTTGAATACGGGGATCGTTTGAACTTTTTTTTTTTTTTTTTTTTAATATTAAATTAAAAAAAAAAAATTTTTTTTTAATACGAAGTCATCTATCTATATATAGGGTCGTTTTGTGAACTTTCGTTCCATTATTATTATTATTATTATTATTATTATTATTATTATTATTATTATTATTATTATTATTATTATCATTATTAAATTGTTTGTCGTTTTTTCATATTTCGAATGATTAAAAAAAAATTTTTTTTTCGATGTTTTAGTCAGTCAGTCAGTCAGTTTTAGTCAGCTATCGAACCCCAACAAAAGGTCGAATTTTTTTTTTTTTGTTCACATTACGTCGGAAAATTAAAAAAAAAAAAAAAACTCAAAGGCTTTGTATTATCATCATCATCATCGTCACGTTTATTTTTTGTTATTACGTCATCATCATTCCATTTTTTTTTTTTTTATTGAAATGAAAGAGGTAAACGAACGAAAAACCGTGAAATTGTCATAAATCAATTTAATTAATTCTTTTTGTTTTGATACTAAATTTTTAAATTGTTTGTCGTGTCATCGGAGTGGTTCTACTGCCACTTTGACAATCGACGATCGTTTCGTTTTTTTTCAACAACCCGAAAAAACAAACGGAAAAATTTATGCGAAAAAAAGAAAGAAAGAAAAATTTTTTTGTTAATTGCTAATTTCGTTTTGTGTTTGTTTGTTTTTTTTTTTTTTGTTTTCGATGATTGTTACTTAAGTAATAATTTATTATTATTATTATTATTATTATTATTATTATTATTATTATTATTATTATTATTATTATTATTAGTATCATTATTATTAAGACGCGATGTTTTACTGTTAAAAAAATAAAAAAATATTTAACGATTACGGTTCGGAAAAATAAAAAGAAAATACTCCTACTCCTCCGTTGCATTTAGGTAAATTAAAACAAACGAACAAACGTGAAAATGATGTCGTTATTACAAACAAGAATTTTAAATATTGTAATTATTATTATTATTACCATAATCGACACCGTCTCGTTATTACCAACATCATCATAATTAATAATAATCGAAATCATCTTTCACGTTTGTTTGTTTTGAAAAAAAATTTTTTTTTTTTTATGACGTGGCAGAAGAAAATTTTTTGGATTTTTTATAAATTTATTTAATTAAGTTTTTTATCTGACTCGTTTGTATACACGTTTTGATTGTTCGTTTGTTGGTTTTTAACGAATCACGAATTTTACGAAACGGTAGTCGCTTTTTAATTGTAGTTGTTGTCGAAAAAAACCGCCGAAATTAAAAAAAAAAAAAAAAATTTGGAAAACAAACGAAAAAACGTTCGCGTGTTTGTTAGTAACAAACGAAAAAATTGACCGTTTTCGCAACTTTTTTTTTTTTTTTTTTTTTTTTTTACAATAAATTTTTTTAATCGAAAATGATGGCTTGTCAAAATTTTTACGTTAAATTGTTGGGAAGAAACAAACAAACATAAAATTTAACTCGTAGAACGGTGGTATCCGAGGGCGCGGTAGCAACAAACAGTAAATTAATTTTTTTTTTTAATATTATTATTGACAGGACCGTAAACAAAACCGGACCGTTAAAATTTTTTTTTTTTTTTTTTTTTTTTCAAATTTAATAAATGGTATCAAAAAAAAAAAAAAAAAAAAAAAAACTCAAACATTTAAACGTAATTATTTGGTTGTTGTTGTTGTTGGGGTTGTTCTAACTTTTTTTTAAAAAAAAAATTGATTTAATTATCTCGCGTTTAGTTAAAAAAAAAAAAAGAAAAAATTTTTTCGGGGAAATTTTTTTTTTTTCCTCCGTAACAACGAAAATAGCAAAAAAAAAAAAAAAAACTCGTTTAATATAAATTATCATTATTAATATTTTAAATAATAACCCCCTAATAATAATAATAATAATATATGCGAGAGAGAGAGAGAGAGAGATTATTATTTAATTGATTTTTTTAAAGAAATCAATTAAATCAATAAATTATCAAAAAATTTTGTTTGTGTAAGATTTTCTTTTTTCCCCCCTCCCTTCTCCCCCATTTCTAACGAGTATATATATATTTAATTATCGAGTTGTTTGTTGCGTTTGTTGCATTTCACTTAATAAAATTGGCATTTACATTTATGATTACGTCACTACAAAAAAAAAATTTCGGTTCAAAAAACAAAATTTAATTTTTTTTTTTTTTTTTCGTTATGACCCAGAGGTCAAAATAAAAAAAAAAATTAATAATATTAAAAATAATAATAATAATAATAATAATAATAATAATAATAATAATAATAATAATAATAATGATAATAACCCGCCGAAAATTTAAATTTTAAATAATATTTAACGGTCGTCGTTTTAGTCGTCGTGGTAGCTTAAAAAAAATCACGCGACGTTTAATTATTATTATTATTTATTTATTTAACCGATCGTAAAAGAAAAAAGATTTTTGTTAATAATAATTTTGTTATTAATAATAATTATTATTAATAATAAAAAAAACGAGTTTTTTATCATATTATTATTATTATTTAAATTTTTAATAATTTATAAAGGAGAGAATTGTAAAATAATTTTAACGGTTGATGGAAATTTCGGTGGTTTTTTTTTACACGTACGGTTTCGAATGGGGAAAGAGAGGAGGAGGGAGAAAACAAAATGGCGGGTTTTTAAAGAGAAAATTAAAGAAAATGAAGAAAATTTTATTTCGATCGTAGGTACACTCGTCATGTCTAAAATAAACACCTGTCAAAAATTTTGGTTAATTTTTTTTTTAATATAAATTTTCGTACAGGTTTTGGTATATTTACACACAAAATACTGCCTAGATAGAAGTCATTATTATTATTAATATTAATATTATTATTATTATTATTATTATTATTTGACATAATATTTTCAAAAAATTTGGCAACAGGTTTTTGAGTTTGTAATTTTTGAAAATGTTAGAAAAAAAAACATCAAATTATATTATTTTTTATATTCGTTTTAATTTTCATGTCTTTATAAGAAAATAATTACGATGATCATCATTATTATCACCATCATTATCATTATTATCACCATAATTATCATTATTATCACCATAATTATCATTATTATCACTATCATTATCATTATTATTATTGTTATTATTATTATTATTAATTTTCATCGGAAAAATTAATGGATGCGGTCGCGATCGTGCATAAGAAAACTGTGTGCATAAAAAAAAAAAAAATGAAAATCGTCGCCGTTGCCTTTTCCGTAACGGAAAAATCGGTTATCGATAACACGGATTCACCCGATCGAGTGTATTGTTTATTTAAATAATAATAATAATAATAATATTAATAATAATGATAATAATAATAATTGATAATTTAAAATCCCACGCGTGATAATAAATTTTTAAAATGTCAATTTTTTTTTTTTTTTTTTTTCACCCACGAATAAAAAAAAGTTGAATTAAAATAAATAAAAAAAAAAAATTGCAATTTTTTATCATTATTATTATTATTATTATTATTAATATTATTATTATTATTATTATTATTATTATTATTATTAATATTAATATTATTATTATTATTATTATTATTATTATTATTATTATTATTATTATTATTATTATTAATATTAATATTATTAATGAAATTGCGAATTTTTCAAAAAACTTTTTTTTTTTAATCGGATAAAAAATTAATCGATTTATTCATTTATTATTTATTATTATCATCATTATTATTATTATTATTAGTATTATTATTATTATTATTAAATTCGATAATGTGAATTTGAATGTTGGGATCTCGTATCGATCGTTTTTTTTATTGCCATTTATCGTCACAGCATTCTTAAGTTGGCAAACACGCGCACTCACTCACTCATGCACTCATGCATATAAAATTATTTATTATTATTATTATTATTATTAATAATAATTCTTCGTCGTGGGCATGTTCGTTTGTTTGTTTGTTTGTTTTTTTTTAAAAAGGTATGCGTGGGCGTGTGATAAGAGTGAGAGAAAGAAAATTTAAATAATAATAATCATTGATAGTGATATTATTATAGTTTTATTGAATAATTTTCTTGACCCGACGTCGACCCCCGCCGCCCCCCACCACCACCGCAATCGCCACGATTCGAACTCTTAGTCATAATCTTCGGTAAAGGTCTCGATATGAATTATTAATTATATATATATTTATTTATATAAAAAATGAAAAATTGTTTATTATCATTATCATTATTATTATTATTTTAAACGAACGAGAAAAAAAAACGCGAAGGTGAATCGACATATTTAAAAAAAAATAAATTATGACTTTCGAAACGTGTACGTAAACAACAAAAACAAAAAAAAAAAAAATTTTAACAACAAACAAATTTTATTTATTATTATTATTATTATTATTACGGAATAATTTCGGTATATGTTTTAAAAAACGCGGCGGTTATATATTTTTTTCGTATACTTTTTCGGTACCGGAAATCCGCCATTTTGGTTTTTCTTCTCTCGGTGAAAATTTTTAATGATGATTATTATTAAAAAAAAGGAAAAAAATTTTGTATTCATGCTTTCAAATTTAAATAATGAAGACATTAAAATAATTAAATATTATTATTATTATCATTAATTTTTTGGGGTAATTATTTTGGAGAGGGGGAGGGAGGAGGAGGAGGAGGAGGAGGGAAAATTGATAATTTAATTAAAACTTTTTTTCTAAGAGAGAGGGGGGGGATTTTCACGGGAGATATTTTATGCGCGTTCGTTTTAATTCGAACTTATCAATATTCATTCCAGGTTTTTTTTTAAAGATGATTGTTACGATTATTATTATTATTATTATTCTTATTATTATTATTATTATTATTATTATTATTATTATTATCATTATTATTACGTTACATATTTATGTGAATTTTATTCAAAAAAAACGTCGTGTGTACCTTTTTTTACGTGACGTAACGGATAATTTTATTTATTTTTTTTTTCTTCTTCTTCTAACATTGGATATAATCGAGAAAAATACATAATAATAATAATAATGTATGAGCGTAAATGACCTTTTTATCATGTGAAAAGTATTTTATTTATTATCATTATCATTATTATCATCGCAACGTCAAAATTTGCCCGCGAACATTTTTGTAATATAAGAAAAACCATTTTCCCGGTCATTTATCACGTAATCGCTCGAAAATATGATGAAAAACTTGTCTTTAATAAATCGATTTAAAAAAAAAAAAAAAAAAAAAAAAAGGAAAATTCTCTTTTTACAAAGGTAAATAGGGAGGAAAAAAAAGCAGAAGAAAAAGCAGAAAAAAATTTTTTTTTTTTATGAGGTCAAAAAAGAAAAAGAAAAAAAGAAAAATCTTTTTTTTTTTTTTTTTACCCTAAAGCTCAAAACAGATTTTCACCCTTTCATCCATTGTCATTTTTTTAAAAAAAAAAAGAAAAATTTTCACCCTTCGACATACATTTCAAGAATTTATTTTTCTATGCGCGCACACACATACACACACATTCATACACATACGTGCACCTCCCCCTGCCCCCCGGAAAAAGAGGAAAAGAAAAAGAAAGCATAAAAATAAATTTGTATATGTATGTATATCATGACGACGTATGAAAATAAATCAAAACAAACGGGGTTAATTGATTTGAACTAAATCATTTAATTTCATTGATAATGATAATTATTTAAATACACACACACACGCACGCACACGCATTGAAATTTAACCCGTGGGACGCACGTGTCAGTCATGCTCGAGAAATCAACCGTGTATACGTTAAAAATTTTTCATTGATAAAAAAATTATTATTATTATTATTATTATTATTATTATTAATTCGGCCTTTTGAATTTTTTTCGCCTTCTCTTTTCTCTCTCTCTCTCTCTCTCTTGTTCTTTCTCTGTCTGTCTTTTTCTATCGGAAACGTATGATTTTTTACTTAAAAACATCCGTAAAGATGATATATAAATAAATAAATAATGAAATGGCGTTTTTTTGTACGATTCGTTTTAAAAATCAAATTTAATATATCTTAATTGATATCGGCGTTGTTTGTTGTTTGTTGTTTGTTGTTTGCTATATTTTAACATTATAGTACGAGTATTAAAAAAAAAAATTTTTTTTTTTTAATTTTCGGGAGTCGATAAAACGCGGCCGGAAGGTAAAAATCGCGTTAGTAAGTGAATTAAAAATTTTTTTTTTTTTTTTTTTTATGCTGATATTGTATTTGATAAAAATCTAAGTTATTAAATGTTGCTACCACTTAAATTTAAAAAAAATGGACGTGGAAGAAGAAAGAAAAAAAGAAAAACGATGCAATTATTTATATATAATCTTAATCAATTTAATTTACCAAAAGGAAAAGAAAAAAAAAAAAAAAATTGGCACTTAAAAAATAAATATTATTGAGGTTATTACACGGGCACGCGTAGTCACGCACACACGCACGTGTATTGCAACGTGTCAGTATTTTTTGTCTTTCGGAAAAATTAATATATATAATGCGAGTTCGAGTTTTGCTAATAAAAAATTAATTTTTTCGCGAGAGGGTATTTTATTATTATTATCATCATCAAATAAGAATCATTAAACTGACTGGATAATTACATTGGTAGTAGCAGTAGTGGAGTGAATTATCCAGGTTTGAATTTAATCAGATCTGGACAACACCTATCAATGTTTAATGAATAAGGCACGATTCTCGAAGATGTGCCTTCGAGGCGCACACCACCTATAGGTTGTTCTTCAATAATAATAATAGACTATAAAAAAAAAAAAAAAAAAAAAAATTTCTTCTATCTCTTTTCTTAATTGCCGGTCGTAAGGTACGGACCTTCCTGTTTTACGCGTGTCTTTAATTTTTAACAATGATTTTAGGTTAGGTTTAAACCCCTCTCGTTTGTCGTTTGTTGTTTGTTGTTATTGTTGGTGTTTCGTTCGTTAATTTAACCGCGATCGTTTTTTTTGAATTTTTTTTTTGGAGGGGAATTTAAAAACATTATTCGGAGAAGGGGGGGAAAAGAGTTTACGATGTCTATCTAACGACACGACAAAATTTTATTTATTGTTGTTACACGAAAGAAACGAGTATTAAATTTACATCGCAAATTCGAAAGGAAGAAAAATTTTTCCTCCTATCTGGTGGTGGAAAAACCCTAATGGAAACAAATTCCATAGGAAAGATTATACGGAATGACTTTGAATGAGAGAGAAAGAGAGAAAGAGAGAAAAAGGAATAGATAAGAAGGGCATTGTGTACAAATGGCATTCATATCCTATCCGTGTCATTTTTCAGGGAGAAGGGGAAGAAGGAAGAGAGGGAGAGGGATGTGTGTGAATGGAAAGTGAGACACATTTGAGAAAAAAATAATAATAATAAAAAACGGTTTTTTTTCCTGGTATTTTTTTTCTGGAAACATTTGTAGTGTTTACATTTTTTTTTCGGGGGGGGGGGCGGAGGGGAAGCGTAGGGGATGTTTCGTATCATTTCGAAAATTCGCGGAGGGAGAAAGAAAAAAAAATTCGACGCGACTCAATATTAAATATTTTAGAGCGTACGAGTATTTTAAAGTTCTAAGTATAAAATAAGACACGACGATCGATCGATCGATCCATCGATGAAATGCGAGAATCGATCGATCGATAAATTTTTTATGTTTATTTCCTATATGATTGTCTGCACATTGTTTTGTTTTTTTATTTCCAGTACGTTCAAGTTCCACTTTTTTTGTTTCTTTCTCTCTTCAATTTTTTTTTTTTTAGGTCAAAGGTTAAATTTTTAATATGATGGCAATATTCATGGGGAATTTTTTTTTTTTTTTTGGTTTTGGTTTGTTTTATTTTTATTTTTCGCAGGGAATGAAATGTGTTTTTTTACATTTTTGCGGTTTAGCGAGTAGTTTATCGTTATTATTATTATTATTATTATTATTATTATTATTAGTTTTTGGTACGAATGCGAATTTTCAATTTTTTTTCATTTGATTGATCGAGATTTTCTCGCAACGACATTCTTTAATATCGAGTGTTGTATTCGTGTAAGATGCCCAAAAGTAAAAAAAAAAATCGTTCTTACCTGCTGATCCTCGACGGATGCAAGTGCACTGTGTAAAACTAAATTATCCTGATCCAATCCCGGTACGATGACGTCGGGACGTCTACCATATTCTCTCCCGCGGGAACTTTCGTACGGAAACGATGCGTGCATGTTTGACTGGAAAAAAAAAAAAATTTAGTTTTTAAAATTATTAATGGTTCTCTTTTTACGTTAATTTTAACGGATTTAAAAAAAAAAAAAAAACTTGTCCGAAAGAAAAAGAATTTCAAAATGGCCGAATGGTGGCGCGGTCCAGTTTTCGAAATTATATAAAATTTTTTTCGGATTTTGTTCCCCAAATTTTTTTTTTTTTAACCAGTTTAAGTAATATTAAAAAACCGTAATAATAATAATAATAATAATAATAATAATAATAATAATAATAATAATAGTAATTCACAAAAAAAAAATATTTAAAAAGCAGTTTTGTTTAATAATTATCCCAATTATTATTATTATTATTATTATTATTATTATTATTATTATTATTATTATTATTATTATTATTATTATTATTATTATTATTATTATTATTATTATTATTATTATTATAGCAGAAAAAAAAATAACGGGGAAAAAAAAAATAAAAAAAATTTGAGTTTGAACAATTTCTTCCCCCACTTCCCTCTCTTTCCCACTCACCTCTTCCCCCGACGTTTTTCGCAATTTGTTAAATATGAGAAATAATTTCGTTAACTTTAATTTTTTCACGTTTTCAACCCCTTTTTTCATAAATCTCACCCCCGTGTAAGACATCCGAACAATGCAGATAATATTTATTATTGATGAATCGAAGTTTTTACTAAAAACTTTATCCTTACAAAATCTCTTTTTCCTTTTGGGGAAAACTCCTTGTAAGAAACTACTTGCATTCCAAAAATTAAAACAAAAAACTTTTCCTCCCTTCCCCCCCCCTCTCTCTCTCTCTCTCGTGTATATGTATAGTATATGATTTCAGGAGCGTATCCAAGAATTTAAAAAAAAAAAAAAAACCTTTTTTATTGTTAATATTATTCGTTCGGAAATTTACAAAAAAAATTTGATTTTCGTACGGAAAAATCTATTAATAATAATAATAATAATGATAATAGTTAACGGAAAGGGTCATAAGCGAAATATTATTTACTTATTTATTTTAATAATGTATTTTATGTTACGGTTAATTAATTAAAATTATTTAAAAAAAAAAAAATAACTGTCAACTATATATTATGAAACGTTATTATTATTATTATTATCATATTGTCAAGGCTAAACGGTTTTTTTTATTATTTAAAAAATTAATAATTTTTATTAAGGCGTAACTTTTTTATTTAATAATAATAATAATAATAATAATAATAATAATAATAATAATAATGATTAATTATTAAATAAAAATATTTTTACGTGGAATGAATAAAAAAAAAAAATGGCGACATTTTAATCTCAAAAAAAAAAAAAAATCGAAATCGAACGATTGTATTTTTAACGTTCGTACGCTCGTGCATGTGTTTGTTTATTTGTTTGTTTGTTTGTTTCTCTAACGTTGTAATGTACGTGAGTGCGCGAGTGCGCGTATATATATATTTATATATATTTTTAAGTGTCATTAAACTGTTTGTTAGTTAACCTGTTAGTTAAAAATATTTTCGTCAAGGATATTAGTGCAAACATTAAAAAAACGCGGCGTTTTTCAAAGAAAAGCACTTAAGCACATGCCTGAGCTTAATTAAAAAAAAGACTCTGAGTTTAACTTAACGATTATGATAATAATAATAAGAAATCGAGAATGTTAATTTTTTTGGTATTTATAAAAAAAAAGAAAAAAAAATAGAAATTTTCCGTTAATTAAATCGATTAATAATAATAATGATAATATGTGTATGTGATATTATTACTCACAACGTGTAGTGAATCTCCATCTCTTCGTAAAACATCGTGTGTAGTTCTTTGCGATACGGCAGCTGCTGTTAACTGATTGTAATGATGTGCTGCAGCAGCAGCTTGAGCAGTTTGATGAAGAGAATTTAAAGTTTGCGAATACGGATCGGTTACCTAAAAGGAAAAAAATCAACGCAAAGTTCAATAAATCAATCAATCAATCAATCAATGGTTTAATGGAGGGAAAAAAAGAAGAATATAACTTACGGCCACGGAATTTAAATAATCGAGCTGATGATGACTTTGTGCCGTAGTCGGACTAGCCGCCTGATGATGAGGCGGTGGAAAAGGTGGTGGAAAATACGGTGGTTGGAAGTCCGTTGAATGATGCGGCGCCATTCCGGTGTTACCACCCGAAACTGTGTTCGTTCTGTGGTGGTGATGATGATGAGATGGAGCGGAAAATGGAGATGATCCACCACCGTGTCCTGTTAGACGATCCTGTTAAGGGGAAAAAGAAGAAAAGTGTCATTAGATTTCGTTTAAAATTTCGGTGGATTACGATAT